GCTCTGTAGTCAGTTTTTACAGTTTTGTGGTTCCGAGTGTTGATGGGGGTTGAGCATTTGGGGCCAGCTGATCACAGGAAGGAGTTCCTGTAGAGGAGATAAGAACCATAATAGCACGTCTATGAAGGTGGCTAAATCTTTTCTCTTTTAAATCAGGAGTCCTTATTTTTGTAACTTCAATTTAATTTCTATTGACACTTTAGGCAAAATATTAAGTCACAGAAATTATTTTTTTGGTCTCAATATTTCTGTGACTTCTAAAAGACTGCAACAATACCAGATAGCAGATTTCTGTTAAGTGTCTTGAATAATGATTACTATGTCTTTATGATGATGATTTATGTGTTTTAATAGTCTTTGGGAACTTTTGTGTAGTTGTAGTCTTGTGCTGGGGGACCTAAAAGTGGATGCAGTTTTTGAGATTCAGGCTCAAAAGATGTTGACTACAAGGGCTTAATGATATCCTTTGAACTGCTGGTTGTCCTCTTATTACTGCACCCCAGTAAGCACTTGGCCTTCATGGCATCAATGGCACACTCTTTGCTCTTGTTCAACTCCTTGTCCATCAGGAAGTTCAGATGCTCTCTAAAGGGGTGCTGCACAGTTGGTCAATCCCCAGCCTGCACTGTTAGGGTTTTGCAGGGCCAGGTGCTGGACTTCGTGTTTGTCTTTACTGAAGATCTTGAGGGTTTTGTCAAACTTTTCTTGTAGCTAATCAAGGGCCTTGTGAACGGCAGCCCTGCCCTTCAGCACATCTGCAGTCCTCATCAAGTTCCCTGTTTTCTTTTTGCCTCCTTTTTAAAGGAGATACTTTTAAATGTAAGTACTAAGGCTTGTTACTGAAGACATTCAGGATTCATCAGGCATTAAGGCTTCATCAGTATTAATTTGCTGTGCAATGACATGGCACTATGTGTAACGTTTTACCATAAATATAATTAGGAATCTTGGGTTTTGTGTATGCTTTTCAGGTTATAGCAGCAAACTGACGCAGTAATTTCCTTCAGTATCTTTAAGAAATCTTCTAAGATTTACTAACACAAACTAGATAAAGTGCTAGCTTTCATTTCCAGATTCTTTGATATGTTTAAATAAGTTAAAAAATAATCTATGGACCTTTTACAGTTGTTATGTTTTGATCTTAAGGAATACTTTCCTCTTTGCTGAAATAGTATTTAGCTATTATTTCTCTGAGGAATTGTTCCTGTCCAGTTGTTGAGGTAGTGGGAAGTGAGTGGGAGTGGGTGAGTGGGAAGAGCTTCAGGAAGTCCCAGCTGACACTCTAAAGGTACATGTGGCTGTAAAATTTGAAGTAATACTCTAAATGGGGCAGGAAAACGTGCTTTCAGTCTTAGAACTTGAAAAGTAACATTATTGTTTGGGTATGAAATATTTACTATTCAACAAAATGCCATTTTCCAAATAATAAAATTACTTCATGGGATCAACGTGCAAGACATGGTACTGTTTGCATAGCAGTATTTCTCAGTGTTGTTTGCTCAGAGTTTGTTACTGCAAAGACCTAAATGTAACTTTCTAAAAAATAAAATGAACAATAATTCTCAGATTTCTGAATGATATTATCAAGTTTTCTATGTCTTTGTATTTCTTCGGACCCCTTTCAAGATGAGGGAGTTTCCTGTGCACTGTTTGATTTGCAGTCTCAGAAAACAAAACTATTGTAGTATCAGTTTTGTTGGGTGTTATTGTCATATGCCTGCTGCCAGTATTTCATACTAATTTCCAAAAAGGATATATTTTGATGTATGTAGTTGGTTTTTTTGGTTTGGTTTTTTTAATTTTTTTTTGGTGGTTGTTGGTTTTGGTTTTTGTTGTTTGTTTTTTTTTTTTTTCTTTTGTTGCCCAGACTTACAACTTTTCCACATTCACCCTGGTCCTGTATCAGATTTAACTAGGTTATGACACACACTTTTCACTTTTTTTTCTGGTTTCTACAGTGTTTTGGTTGGTGTGTAATTAATTTCTACTGTTTATTAGCTGTATGCCCAAAAGTAATTGGTACTGTAATCTTATGATAAATAGTGCACTTTTTAGACTTTTTTAAGACTATAATTTACTTATCCTGTTAAAGTACTGTAATGATTCTAGTATTAAAAATTCATTTAAGCTGTAAAAATAGCTGGACTGTGTGTGAACTTAAATGTTTTGTGTTTTCTTTTTAGGCTTTCAAAATAGACCAAAGTCCTTAAAAGTATTTGTTAATCCAAGTAGCCACAAAAGAGAAGCCACTTATGTGTATTATGAACAAGTTGCACCTCTTTTTAAGCTTGCTGACATCAAAACTGATGTCACAGGTAAGTTACTTCAAAAGCATGGTTTAATTCTTTGTGAAACTAGTACTTAAGGATGCAAGAAAATCTGAATTTACTGCTAATCCTTATTGGCTTTGCCTGCAAATAGTACATTTGGAACTGTAGTTAATACAATACAATTTATTTTTATTTTGTCAAAAAAAATGTTTTAGTAATTCTGGTATTCATTGAGTATTTTTCCCTATAGCTATCAATACTGGTATTATATATTTTGTATTTTTTAAAGGAAGCATTCTATAAAAAGAAACAAGCATTTAATGTCTGACAGTCTTATATATGCTTGCTAAGAGTTGTTCTTGCACTCTGACAAACACATGTCCTTAAATACTACTTTTCTTCTGAGAATATCTGTTGGTTTGACATCTATAAGAGGGGCTTATCTGAAGGACACATTATTTCTGGATTCTGACTCAGTTTCAGGGATGACCTGGAAGCCTAAGTGATTAAGTTCTGTGATGACAAGGGTAGTTCTCATGAGGCACGTGGGCATGACTTGGTGTCTGGAGAATATGAAGGTACAACTTTAATGTTATAGTGATGCTGCCTTCTGCTCAACAATGGGTTCCCAATAGCAGGTTTGGATTTAAGGCCCCAATTTCTGCCAGAGTTTTGCTTCATGTCCTGAATTTGCCCTTTGGCTGTTTCATTTGATTGACTTTTATATAAGAAATTGAACAGGGAAACAATTAATTTTCTTAAAGTATTAATAATGTGATCATCACTTCTGCCCCCTTCTGTGAAGAGATTGAAACTTATGCTGCATCAGATTTAGTCCCGAAAAACACCCAAGCTTACAGAGAAATGATATTAATATTTCCCATTCCAAATACATTTTTTTATCCGTAGTATTACAATTCCCTTTAATACACAGCTAATTTTTGATTATGCATTTCATATCCATGTGAAATTATAAGACAGAGGGCTCATCCTACAGTTTAAGGGAAAACTCCTTGTGAAATCATGACTAGTTCAGGTTGCAGGCCAAAAATCACTCTGAGCAAATCTGATTTAGGCATGAGGATATAATAACGCAGTAAGTGTTTGTATATGAGATTCATCTTGCTAATTTTATTACCTGTAAATATATATGTATTTTTTTTAATTATTTAGCCCACAGGTTAAAGTAAAATCAATTGAAGATTACAGATGCATGAGAATGAATGTGAGAAAGATTGTGTTAGAATGCTGTAGTGATAATTTCTTAACTTCCCTTAATTGATAAGGGAATGCCAGCAGCTTTATATAAATTTTGATTCTCACAGACATATTTTTCACCTGCAAGGCATAGATGATAGTGTAAACAGATTAATAATAACGCTGTCATCTTAGAAATTGAACTTTGCCTTGTTTGGTCACATTTTTTTTAAAAAAAATTTTTTTTGTCATGTAAAGCTTAGTTAGAGATGACTGTCATATGGTTAAATTAGTTACTACTTTACTTTAAACAACTATTTAAAGAAAATTACCTTTTAAAAATTTTATTCCTCACTACTGGTTAGTGTTTCTTTTATCTTTAGTGCGAACATAACCTTGTTTGTTAGACTCTGTTAAAGACAGCATTATCATTAACCTGTAAGATTACATTTTTAGCTTTGTAATGTCACCTAGAATCCCAAAGCTGAACTAATAAACCAAATCTGTATCAATCTTTTTTAGATTGAGTTTAATATAAGCTATGAATATAATTTGTAGTGATTTTTAAAAAGATTTTCCCTAATTGAATAAAAACAGTTTAAAGCTTATTTTAAAATTATTTTTCTTTTAAATTTTGAGAAGAAACTTCTGGGTTTAGTCAGATAAGTGTTTAATGGCTTATCCTTAAACTAAAGTTATTTTGGCAATGTCCAAATAGTATTGCGCTGATTAGCTGCCTAACACTCCTCCTACAGGCAAAGTGAGAAAACTACATTACGGTTTTAAATGCTAGTAGAGAACAGAGTAATTAAGAACTGTGCATTAAATAAAAATAAAAAGGTGGTGGTGGGTGCTGAGTGAACGTTCTGTCTACTGGTATCATCTTGTATTAAAACTAAGTGCCTCATTTCATGTAAATTTAAGAAGTTTGTTTCCTCCCATAGTTGTTTTGGATTTTGTGAAGTTGGAGTGTGCATCTTGCTGATACGGCTTTTTTGAAACATAGCCAATATTTGCATACATAGGAGTGGACAAAGGTGTATTAGGTAGTAAAAGTTGAAGGCTCTTGTATAATTTTTACACTGAAGGTAGTTTAAGTCTTTTCACATACACATAATTAAAGCTTAAAATTCAGTGTACACCAAAATCTTAAAGCAAATTTGAACCTCTGAAGTCACTTCCAGCACATATACAATACCAGAGTTGCAAGTTACTGGAAAAAAACCCAACCTCTGACAAACTTTGACAGTGGAGTGCTGAAAGATAGAGCTCCCCTCATCCAGTCTTGTATTTTGGTAGCTGGCTGTTGCTTCCTATGTGATCAAGCTTGCCAGACCTTACTCTTCATTGTAACTTTCTGTTGCAATAAACTTCTGTTTTTTTAATTTAGACGTTTGGAGTTGGAGGTATTCTCTCCTACTCAAGGATATACAGCAGTCAAAACAAATTACTTTGCACACTACAAATGTATTAATTTTAGTGAAATTTACCAAAAGTCTTAGAGAGTAGATTGTGTTTTATTGGGTTTTTGAGTTATTTTTGTTGCGTGGGATAAACAAATCTCTGAAGTGCTTAGTGCAGTAGAAAGTGGGAATTAGCAAATTTAAACTGAAACAGTACCTCAGCTGTAGTTAAGGCTAAGCAATACTTAAAAACTGGTCTTTATGCAGTCTTTTAAGAGTTTGGAAATCTTGAGTGCTGCAGCTGGGATATGTTAAGAGAAGAACGGTGACTTCTAAAAATCCAGTTCAACAAAAGCTCGCACCACATTTGGGATACCTACAAGTACTGACAAATAGTGATAACTGGAGCTAGTATTTTAGAAATAAATTAGTATCTTGCAAAATCTTACAGACACTAAAGAAAAATAAATAAAGGTAACCCAAACAGACTCCTAGCTTGTCTCACTTCTCTTCCTAGCTTTGACTCTTCTGCTTCCGTTTATGCACAATTACAAGCTGGATGTTTAGGCAAAAACAACAGCCTTCCTCACACCCCCCTTTTTAGGGCAGAATCACAAAGGAAAAGAGAGTGATTGAGCACTGGACAAATAACATTGGTTTAAACTTACTATACAGTAAATAACATTAATATTTTTTCATCCAGTGTCAACACCAGTTAATCTATTGTTGTCATTAGCAGTTTTAATCCTATTGACATTAGTCTGTGACATGAGTGCCAGTATTTACATGTGTCATATGGAAGTGTCCCACGTTTTGAACTGTTGAACTAATTATATGTTGCTTTTCCTATATGTATTACAAAGTTTTGGAGTATGCGCGACTGTTCAAATGAGGTACACTGTCAGTGCCCTTCTTTCAGAATGCTGTTACTTGAAACTTAATGCATACTGGAATTTACAAGTTGGGAACAAAATGTGTTTGAAAAAGGAAAACTTTTTGAATTGTGCATTAGAAATGGTTGGAAAAAAGCATTAATATATTTGTTATTAATATTACTGCCAAATATGTAATCTGAATCCTTCTCAAATGGTGAAAGCAGCTCTTTCTTGCTTTTACCAAAATTTATTGTGTTCGGGGTTTTTTTGGTTTTGTGTTTAGTTTTGGGTTTTCTTTCCCCTGAATTAGAACAGGATCAAATATTCAAACTTCTAGCTTTTTTCCAACTATCAGAATGGCTTTTATGTGTCCCTCTGTAGATTGTCAAGCCTGCAGAAAACTTTTTAGACATGGTCTTTTTATGCCTATGTAGGATTTTTTTCAATTTTTCTCTCCTTGATTGATTTTCTGTATGTTCTTATGAAGTTTTTCCTGGAAACTTCATGCTTTCCTTAGCTTTTTGTCACAATGTTGTGTACATCTGTCATTCTCTCATCAAATTTCAGTTTCTTGGAATTATCCCCAGTGTTAAGCCTTGCAGTAGTCCTCTAATATAATTTCAAAACTTAAGTTATTAAATGCAAAGAGGATGGAGTTCCCGTCAATCTGGCTAACACTAGTAATTTTTACTGCCTTTATTAATTTCTCTGTAGACATGAGTCCTCTTTGCTTTCATGTCCTTGTACTTTGAATGAATTAACTTTGTAATAGCAAACATAACGTACATACATTACATTAGGAAACCAATGAGCATGTTTACAAAATAAAATCTTATTTACTGTACCATTTTAATTAGATGGTACTCATGACTTTATAAATGTCATCGTGTTCATTTAAAAAGGTGTATAACCTGGTAACCAACTGTATGTTTTCATGGGCAGAATTTCTTTCACGCTTAAGCAATGGTAAGATATTTGAAGCTTTCTGTATTTTTGCATGATGCACAGTTTTATTGGTCACTTTTTTCACAATCTACAGATGATGATAAAAGGATAGTTCCCATCGGTAGAAGCAAAACTGAGTACGATAGCTTAAATATTGTGCTTTGATCTTCCAGAAGAGGTCCTGCATGAAAGTTAATTCTGTAAATAATTCCTAAAAGTTATTATAGTGATAGGTATTTCTGTAGCAAAATGATAATTCTATGCCTTTGATATAGTCAAAATCACTCTAGTTTTTAATTAAGAATTTTCAAAACACCAAGCACTAGAACTTTGCTATACTGGTTGGGAGATTTTGAAGTTATTAAGCTGATACACAATTGTTCAGCGTGAAGTGTAAAAATTTTATAATTTTAATTTTTTTTTA